TAATGGAGAACGGATGGCATATCTTGCATTGAGAAAAGAAGAGAAGAAATAGGTGTGAATCATATATAACTTTTACTTGTATTTACATGATTGGATGAAATGTGGACACATGAATGAATAAATATATCGCATTTTATGTACATAGACACATATACGTATATATATATATATATATATATATATATATATATATATATATATATATATATATATATATATATATATATACACACACACACACACACACACATATATATATATATATATATATATATATATATATATATATATATATATATATATATATATATATATACACACAACACACACACACACACACACACACACACACACATATATATATACATATATATATATATATATATATATATATATATATATATATATATATATATAATATATATATATATATATACATATATATATATATATATATATATATATATATATATATTATATATATATATATATATATATATATATATATATATATATATATATATATAATATATATATATATATATATATATATATATATATATATATATATAATATATATATATATATATATATATATATATATATATATATATATATATATATATATATATATATATATATATATATATATATATATATATATATATATATATATATATATAATATATATATATATATATATATATATATATATTCTCTTCTAATCCATAGTCTATTAAGACCGTAGGAGCACTGTTGAATCCTCAACTCTTCGTTTCCATTCCTCTCGATCATGAGCTGCTCTAACTGCCTCTGATGCTGAATATCCGGTGTAGTCTTTGATGTTTTGCATCCACGATATCCGAGGACTCCCCCTCCCCCTCTTTCCTGGTGGCCTGCCGCGCATGATGTTGCTTGCCAGGGGAAGTTTGTCGCTGTGCCTTGCTACATGTCCGAACCATTTGAGCTGTCGTTTCCGTATTACTGATATCATCTCTATGTTTCCAACTTTTTGTTTGTTCTTCTTTCACTGAATCGTTCGTTCTATGGGCTGTAAATGGGATTCGTAATAACTTTCTATAACATTTCATTTCAAATGCGTTGATTTTGTTTTGTGAAACTGCATACAGTGTCCACGTCTCGCATCCATATAATGCTATTGCTATTGTTATCGTCCTAAGAAGCCTGTATTTAGTTTTGATTGTAATGTTAGAGTTTTTCCAGATATTATTTAAATTTATTAGAGAAGACGTTGCCATTGCTAGCCTATTACGTATTTCTTCAGAGCATTTTCCATCTGCTGTTATCTTGCTGCCTAAATATTCAAACGAATCCACCATCTCAAGGTCATCGCCGTTTATTTGGATTGGTTGCGCTAGCGTCTTCCGTTCTCTCCCAACTATCAGTATCTTGCTCTTTTCTGCGCTTACTTCCATGCCATATTTCCTTGCTGTTACATCCATTAATACAGTTAATTGTCGAAGATCTTCATTGCTGCAAATAAGATCTATGTCATCTGCAAAGCGTAGATTTGTTAATGTTTGTCCCCCAATTTTCAAACCACTGTTAAACGTGTCAAACGAGTCCAAGGTGTCCATCATGATTTGTTCAAGGAAAATGTTGAAGAGTGTGGGTGATAAGACGCATCCTTGTCTTACGCCGACATTTGATTTGAACCATGGACTGTATTTATCTCCTATCAATACTGTGCTTTTGCGTGCTCATATAGTGATTTAAGTAATGACACTATACTGGGTCTAAAGTTATGTTTCAGCATTGTTAACCATAACGTCTCATGCCACACACGGTCGAATTCCTTCTTGAAATCAATAAAATTGTGATAAACGTAATTTTGGTGTTCTATGTATTTTTCGTTTATGGTTCTCACGTTACCGATTTGTTCCACGGTTCCACGTCCTTTAGTGAATCCCGCTTGTGCCTCGTTTATAATTTCCTTAGTTGTAGGCTTCATTCTGGATAGTAGAATATTGAGCAATATTTTGCTTAAGTGGTTAATAAGGCTAATTGTTCTGTTATTTTTACATTTTTTAGTATTTCCTTTCTTTGGTAGCGGGATCATTATTGATTCAGTCCATCGGACCGGCCATTCTCCTGATTCAATAATCATGTTACAAATTTTGTATAGGATGTCTAACACTGGATCACCACCTGCTTTCAGAAGCTCTGCAGTGATATTATCTGTCCTTGGTGACGCTATTCTTTAATTTCTTGATGGCTGCAATTATTTCATCTTTTAGTATTGGAGGTTCTTCAACATATTGATGTTGTGATACTTCTTTGGTTAGTCTAGTGAGAATTTACGGATCTTTTTGGACTTCATGGTTATAGAGTTCTTCACAATATTCTTTCCATCAGGTCAAGATGTCATTAATATTTGTTAGCAAATTCCCGTCCTTGTCTTCAATTACTTTGGTTTCAGGTCGCCATTTCTGTGTGAGAGTCTTAACCATGTCGAATGCTTTTTTGGTGTTGTTCAGTT